GTGTTTTCTTTTTTCTTTTTTATTTTTTTTTTTTTTTTTTTTTATTTTTTTTTTTTTTTCTTATAGTAAATACCCTGTATATAAGTGATTGTAAAATGGAATGTGAAAATGAATAAAATATATTTTAAAAAAAACAAAAAAAACAATGCAATTTCTTTGCATTGCTTATAAATACACTTCCTTGTCACTGCTTGCTATCTTTTTTTGGTATGGACAATCCTTCTATTTAGAAAATGGCAACCCAGGAACTATTTCTGACTGGAATTCTAAAGATTGGCTGGGGTGCAAAGGCAGAAGAAAAATTCAATTTATTTTCTTAAACAGTAGATCTCTCCTGAAGTAACTTGAAATTCATTCTTGAAAATGCTTGTGAAGATGAGAAAGAGGACCTTTCAGTTGCAAGAAAAAGAACCTTGACAAGAAACAAAAGAGCAAGTGTAGTATTTTGCTTTTAACCATTACGTCTCCTCTATATCTAATTAATGCTTTGCTTTGCTTCTCTTACCTTCTTCAACCACTTTAGTTAATAAAGACAATATATAAAGAGGCAGTTAAAAAACTATGAATGTGCCAGTTGAATGTCATTAAGATGTACATTTTCTGGCCAAATTTATTGAACAAAATATTGTGCCCTTCAAACATGATTAAAATCAAGGCAAGACTGTCTAATTGTACGAGTAGATAAATTTGAAATGGTCAGTTAATTGTCATCAGTCTATATTGTATCAGGAATAACTGGAATTACTAGGAATATAACTTTTGCATATTACATTAATTAACTGAACATAATTCCCTTTTTCAAATAACTCATATCAAGAATTTCAAAATGTAATGTGCTAGAGGTAACATGAAAAATTAGTTACCAGTTAGCTGGACCTAGGAATTCTTACTTAGTGCAAAGTCATGTTAAGTACCATATTTTTCTGTGTATATGATACTTTTTCTTAAAAATATTTACCTAAAAATGGAGGAATGTCTTATACACAGGGGGCCGAGAGGAGAACCATGGCTGCAAAACTGCTGATACTTTAACTCTGCAACTAGCCTACAAGCGAAACTTCCTATTGCAGAGACAAGCTAACAGGTTTCTTCCAATCATGAGCCTTATGTAACTGACATCAGCTGATGCTGTGGAAAGCATGAAGCCAGTGCCCAGATGCAACAAGAGTGGTAATGTTGGAGCATTCTGAGCCCATAAAAAATGTCAGAAAACAAAAATAAATAAATAAATAAATAAATACTGGTACTGGTAAATGCCTTACTCTGCAAAATAAATGTTTTCTATTTAATGTTTAATATATTGATTTCTGAATTTTGGGTAAGAAAAGGGGGGCATCCTATACACAGGGGGGGTCTTTAAAGATGGAAAATATGGTAATTTTGGTATTGTTTTTATTTTGCTCTGGATTGTTATAACTTGAACTATATCAAGTTATTGATCACATTTAATGACCAATGCTCATACAGGCTTCCAAGAAAACAAGGACTTAATAATTTCTTGTAATACCAGCATCCCGATTTGCCTACAAGGAGCTGTCCTTTGTACTGAAGAAAAGAAGAACGTTTACATTCAATTGACATATTGCATCTTTATTTGAGGTTTTGAACATAGCAGTAGTTCTTTCCCAATATATTTGACAAAAGGGGAACCTGAAGAATCCAAGACTATTAAATGCTATGTTTTCATTTCAGTGCAAAATCTTGCCTTATTTCGCATAGACATGAAGACATGAAGGAAGTTCTTCAAGATTCAACCAGCTATCCTGGAACAAAGCTGAAAAATATACAGTATATACAGTAATAAGGCTTGATACAGATACTACCGTATTTTTCGGAGTATAAGATGTACCTTTTTTCCTCAAAAAACAGGTTGAAAATAGGGGTGCATCTTATACATTGAATACAGCATTTTTTGCTTCACGAAGCCCCGCCCCTTCACCAAAATGGCCGTGCATACTCTTATGGAAGCTTTCAGAGAGCTTCTGGGTGCTGGGAAGGGCACAAATGAGCAAAGAAAGGCCAGTTTCTCCCCCCCCCCCC